GCCTTATCCAGACACCAAATGAACTTGTACACGCGGTGGCAGTCGAACATTGTACGGTCTGTCAGCTGGAATGTCGAAATATCCACGGTCACATGCCTGCCCACCGCGCGGTCGGATAACAGCTGCCACCATAATGCGCACACCCTTCAAACACACAGAAATAAGTTGTTATCATTAACAGGGTCAGGAACTCACTTTAGCTGTAAGGACTGGGAACTGACTGCACAACGGTCGACTACGTCATCACTCTCGCATACAGAAGGCATTACTGCGCTATTACTTACCATGGTTCCACAGATTTCATGGTCAAGTTAAAAGATATTCTCAAATTTCTCATCAAAAGCTTTCTGATATCATAACAGATCATATTGACAATTCTTAACTCATATTCGGGAGGCTATAAATGGAAGAGAAAAGAGTTCTGATACGAAAACAAAAGTATCTGTTAGTCTGTTACCATGACAGCCGCCCTCCCCTATACGCGAGAGTGATAACGTCGAATGGTAGCGTACCAGTCCCTTTCACGCTGTAGCAGGTAGGTACTTGCCAGTTGCCATTAATTAATTGGTAATACGATTGGTAATACGGCCGTATTACCAATCGCACGGTTGTTGTAAGTAATTGTGTAAAATTCAAATAAGAAAAGGGGAACGCTGATACAATGATCAGTTACCAAATTAGAAAGGTGCACTTTGTTACCTTCTGGATTTTGCTTGAGTGTGCAAGTCCAAACTGTTGAGCACGCAGGCCAAAACCGGGTGTGCGACATTACCGATCCATCCATCATCATTCAACTCTGGCATACAAAACCGTAAAATTAAATACGGTACATTCAAGCGCATTCGACAAATTCCAAACCGCGGCAAGGGGGAATTTTTAAAAAGGTTAACTGAAGCTATTGAAACAACTGCGGTACACCAAATTACTGTTCACCAGTTCCGAAACAACACAACGTGTTTTATGAATTACTGATACGCCGATTTTGCATTACTGTACTATGTATCTGTTAAGCGGTTATGGATCAGCTGAATGGAGGACATTCTCCTGCCTATTTACTGCGTCGTAATCCCTTTCAGCAGCCAGGAAATGCGTAAATACCTAGATGTTCAAGAAAATCGGAAAAAGGGTGGGCATCCACCGATTTTGCAATTTGCACCGGCGAAGAGCTTCAAACCATTTATCACATATGCATCAAGCTTTACACTGCTGAAACCCAAATGTATAAGCACAACGAGAGTAGGCCGTACGTAGTACGCAACAAAGATCGTTGGCCTGCTAGAGTCTACGGTTCCGTCTTACATAGTACTCTGTACACATTGCACTGACCGAATATTCTTGGTTTAGGAACTGCCAAAACATTGAGCAGTACTTTCGGACATGGATCAGAGATGGCGCACGCTTCGATCAAGGCATTTTCCACCTCGTCATTCAGTTCGGCTCGACTGTCGCAGCAAACAAAGCGGAGACAGTCTCCCCTGACACCCACGAAGAATCGGTTTGCAATCGGCGCACAGCCTGGATTGTTGTATGTAGTGGACCCTGTCGGCTCCGGTACTTTTGCAACTGACATCTGACCGACTTTTATGAGAAACTTGCGAATGGCAGACACATCTAGGCTGTCAACCATCTGAGCATTTCTCAACGGCACGCTGAACTTGAAAAAAGGCAATTCGGGGTTTGGTTGGGAGGCGGTGGTTCATGGGAAACGCAGTCGGCATAATATGCAATCTGCCATAAGTGGACTACAAACCAGTGTGGCGAAATACCTTCATCCAGTCGAATAAGGAAGGCGTTCACCGCAGCTGTTGGCGCGAGGAGCTGAGCCGGGCGAAAAATATGTGGTCCGTTGATTTTACTGCGCAACGCCACCTGTACCGCGCAGCTGCGGAGAAATCGCACCTTAAGGTCGAACAAATGTCGCATCTTTTCGTGCAAATGCCAGTGTGCCTGAATGTGGCGTGAGTGGATCCAGCCGGCGGAAACCGTCTCGCAAGCAAAATCAATGAACATCAAGTCGCCATCAATATCCTGCACGAATCCCAGCCACCATTCGCTATTCTCGCGCTGGACCAACACCGTATTCCCTAAATTTATCTCATGAGGACTGTCTCGTGGACCCCGAAAGAAATCGGTTGGAATAACGTCCATGATGATAATATGTTCTGCTCGACAACCGTTAACAAAACATCTAACCGTATTTCACATGCAGTTGAAAGTGATCAAATGATTTCGATGAACGCAACTAAAATTCCTCATGGCTCAACTGCAACTGGCCAGCACAAAAACCCGCAATTTTGGCGATGCAGATATTCGAAAAATGATTGCTGCTGTCCATCAGGTGACATTGTTTGGGTTTATACTTCTCCGCCCGGCACGGACATCTGGCTGATCAACGAGGCCAAGGTAGGGCCGATAGTCCTATACTACCGTGTAATCCTTAGGTTTTTGGGAAATGTTATCACTGGTATACGAAAAAGGCTCGTTGGTGATTTGATAGGTGAGCAAACTGCATTCCTTGTCGTCGCGATATCGTGATGAGCAACTAGAAATGGACGCTTGCATGCCGATGTACGAAGTGGAACTACCGTGGTTTCTGTAAGCTCTCTATATAGATATTACTTACGTTCAGATACGCAGTTACTTCGACGTCCTGAAAGTCATTAAATTTTGTCCTTTCGTCAACAGGCCTGAACGGTCGGTGCGCGACATGTTCTTCGAGAACGAAATGTACAATCGCCAGCGGCTAAATGCCGAAGAGATGCTGTGCATTATCGGCGAGAACAATCAGGCAGTACTGTATGTGTGCTTCCCCGGCAACGTCTTCTCCTGCTGTGGTGCCCCATGTCGTGCATCCCTGTGTTTATTATAGAAGGGATTTATCCATTGAGGAACGGCGATTAGTCCCTCGCGACGGCTTAGTGTTCCTGGGCACTTCGCAGATGGCCGCACTGCGGGACTATGTCGCTAAGTGCGGCGTGACCTTTACAGTTCTCACGGTAGCGTGCAGACGTAGCAGACATCGTATGCTTTTGCTTGTAGAACGGGCGGAATGGTGGAATCCGAGCGTACTATTTGCTGCGACTCGGAGTGGAAATTAACAGCGACATTGAGCAAGAAGAGAACGAGTACGTGCCGCAGTCAACACAAACCCAGCCAGTTTCCAGTTCAACGCAGACCTCAACGGACTGGAGTAATGTGGTGTACGTACATATTGCGTTGTAGCAACGACTGTCAGTTGTGTTTTGTTATTACTGTGCTACTAACATACTTACTTAATCATTCATGATCAGTTGTCGTACTAATGAACAGTTAATAAATACATGTATTAATAACCAGGAAAGTGCGGACCTCACAACTCACAAGTAATACTAAACGTGATTGACGAATCTGCTGACCGAGAAATGCATCGACTGCTAATTCTGTTCGAAATTCTAGTTATTTCTCCTACATAATCGTGTTACCCGATCGTGGACACTGGATAGCGTGGATTGCATGGCTGTATGTATCTTTATGGTCTTGTTGGTGCCGAGTCTGAGCTGTATGGTTTATGATCATATTTGTGCGGGACATTTATGTCTTTATGGTGTTATGCATTTATATGCATGAGTGTTTGTGACCGATGGTCAAGTGTGAATGAGAGGAGGCAGGACTAATCTGGCCTGCAGGAGCGGATGTGCAGTGGTCAGATTGGTGCGTGTGGTATTATAGCTTTTGTGGCTGTATGCGATATGAGCGTGTTGTGCGAGCATGCATATTGATGTGGTATATAAGTTGATGCAACTGTGTGGAGACGACACAGTTGTCGGGAGTGCAGCTGTCATGAAATAAAAGTTAAGCTTTTTCCCTGTGGTGTACGTTGTACGAGGTAGACGTAGTGCTGCAGGGTTTTAAGACATGTAAGTAAATTTCAATTCACCGAGCCGCGTTCGTCCACGCCACATTGTTGCCTGTCAAAAACGGCTTTGGCAAATTTTCGATCTAATTAATTTCGTACGTTTTGTGCATTTTGCTGTACGTAACTACGGTTTAATAAACGTTGGTACCTTGTTTGTTTACCTGACTGTGGCGTGTCTGGACTCGATCTCTAAAAATTCCCGCCCCGATCTTGTTTATACTATGTAGCTGTACCCACGCAGGGCCACGCTGCAAGTATTTCCCCTACACGCACTTTGCGGTCTAACTTAGTTAAACGGCTACAGTCTTTGGTGCATCAGTTTTCTTCATAACTTGCAGCTGCGATTTGGTCCGCGCCTCTCCGTGTTACTAAACCGCTACACCATTTTATTATTTTTTTGTAAAAGCAAACATCTTCTACATTCATAACTGCTCCGTTTATCTTTTAAGCGCAAATCTGCGGTGGCATAACGTGGACAAGATAATGCCTATGTGTAAATACTATAAGCGCCACACACAACAAAGTAGCCACTTCACTTCGAATCCGTAGTTCGAACGAGGCACATTAACCGTTGTCACGCAGCGAGCGGTTACTAATTAAGGCAACCTCGACAGCACAAAATTGACGTTTTCGGCAATCAGAGAACGGCACTGCAATATTTCTAGGAACATTTTCCTGTGGTGCTGGAAAGGATTACTTACTGAATATCATACGTGCACGTACACGTATGTATTAGTACATACTAAAGCATGATTAAACCTTCTACCACAAATAGTAACATTTCATGTAGTACCTTGAACGCTGTCTTCTTTACGGCAAGAGCAGCGGATCTGTGCCGATTTTCTGATTAAATATCAACTTTTTGCCCCTAGCAGTAGAGTATGTTACTAGTTACGTGTTTCCAATTGCTGCTATGGATGCCCAATGCTCTCTTACCGGCTTGACTGTTGGACTATGAACCGCGCGAGCATTGCTTGGCTTTTATCGCACTAACACTTGAAGTAAGCTGTGCATGAGCCGTATCTAGGCTGAAATCACGATTTATTTTTACAAGCGAGTAATATACTTTATAGTGTACAATTGTGCATAATATCAAAATATTGGACATGTGTTGTCATTATGTGCTCTTATCATTGAAGTTTACGGCAATTAGCAGGTGTGATTTCTAGTGCTTCCAAAGAAGACTGCGGCATTCTATTAAAATATCTTTAGTCTGTCCTGCGTTAAACCCAAAATATCGTATCTGCTTCTAAACGCTGTTTAAATCGCATTCGAAATACTCCACTAGCTATTTATTCTGCCGAGAAAACGAAAGAAAAAGCCTGCAAACCTTTGTAAAGCTGCTGAGTCTAAGATGAGCGGTGGGCGCATAGCAATGTTAGGTATGGAGTCTGATTCCGATACGCTGCCTGACACGCCTGCTGCTCCAGGTAATATAATATATAGCAATGCAAACGTTTACATACAAGTCTTATTGTTTGGCTACAAGTTGTACAATATGCAATAAATCTAAACATGTAACCGAAATCGTTGTAGCTTAATTACGTCCGTAAATTACTTCTAGGGTCCAAAATTTCTAGGGTACATAAATACGTACAGTACGCCCATAAAAAAGTAACTAAAAATAAACAAATTTTAAAAAAAGAATGTGGAATTGATACGGCACTTATTTTCTAGTGACACCCTCTTGCGCAGAGAATGTCGACTGCCAGAACATTCGGCGTATTGTTAGCGCCGTCGTGGACCAGGCAGTGCAGTTACCGTATTGCCACGGGGGAATTTATCTAGAAAACATTTCCATGTGCGGTGACCAGCCAGTAACTCTGGGCGATGCTAAGAAACTGCTGAGTCTATGGTTGACGTGGATATTCCGTGGCTCTCGAAATGTGGCATACATTCCACCGGAGGGCGTTTCAGCACTGCCACATTTAACCGGCGACACTTCCAAAGCCGATGCCTGGGCGGTTGGATGTGTGACCATTCAGCTCCTTAATGCCAATCAACCGCTTCAACTTGTCCGGTATATGCGGTTTACCTCCAGTATCGTGGCTCTTCAAATGGAGCAGCCATTACTTCCGAAACTGCAGGCCCTGTATTCCGGAGCGGGCCAGGAGAGCGATCTCGTGATTGGTCCCCAGATGGAGTTGCTTTGTCCGATTCCGTGCGCTTGCGAGGATTTCCTGAGCCGCTGTTTGAAGCGCGACCCGGCTAAGCGGTGGAGTTTGCAGCAGTTGCGTGCTCATCCATTTCTGGATATGAGTAAATCCGCTGATGACCTTTTCGCACTGGACTCAACGTTTTACCAACACACACTGCTCTTTGATGATATGTTTATGGTGTCGAAGCTACAGAGACATCCGTTTTTAAAGGCTGAAAACACTTTGTCGCCGCATCAACTAGGCGAACTTGTGCATAAGAACTCTAGCACCCGCCCACCGCAACTGGTGGATGTTTTACACTTTGGAATGTACAGGAGTAAAGACAAAGAATTGCAGGAACAACGTGAATTAGCGATTACAGCCGTCAGACAACTGGTAGACGCATTGCCGACTGATGTCAGTGCAGACGCAGAAACAAGAGATTGGGCTAATATCTACAAGGTGCGAGCGTTGCAGATCGGCGCTAGAAACCTTGTGCAACATTTTGGCTGCCAGTTAGTCGAGCCGGGCGACCGTATTTTTCCCATGGAGCTGCAGGTTATCACGGAACACTGTACAGGTAAGAGCAACAGGTCTAATGTGGCATGGAAAGCTGTCAGTCCGGAACTGCTCTCAGAATTCATGATGCTCTCTAACTAAATAATAATTCTTTAATTAATTAGTTCTAACTAATTTACTAATTTCTTTAATTCTTCCTTCTCTTCCTTAATTTGAAGAAATTTCTTTAAAACATTCATGCAAGTTATTATGCAACCATCGAGGCAGGTATTTATGCAGTTCCCTGTTTATGCAAAATACTTCTAACTGAATTTAGTTAGCAAGATGTTATTTGCGTGTGCACTTTGTGACTGGCAAAAGTATAATGCCAACAATCGCTTATAACTTGTGCAAATACGAGTAGCTTTACGAGTGTAATTCTAAAAGTCTAACCACATTTTATCAGGAGGCTCTTTCCACGACGCCGCTCAGTACAGACTACCGCTCGACATCATTGCCAAATGGACACGGCAGGTGCTGCAAGGCCTGCAATATCTCCACGGACACCGCATCGCCCATCGCAACATCCGGAGCAACAGCATCTTTTTCAGTCACCCCGATTACCGGGGGCCCATCAAGATCGGAGGTTTCCAGTACCTGCGAAATACCGACACGGATCCCTCTGGGCGATGTGAATGGGTTTTTCGGCCAGGTAGTAATGATGATGGACGGTTCGCCTCTCCGGAAATCATTGACATGCACAGTGCGGATGCGAGGATGGGAGAGCAGTGTGCCGTCTGGAGTTTGGGCTGTGTTGTACTGCATTTAGTCAGCGGTCAGCCACCGCTGTACACCGGCGCCAAAAATCGACCGATCATAATAGAAATGGCGGTGCTGTACCATCTGAACAACGGGCCCAGGAAGTTGCCGTGTATTTACGACTGGATACCTAGCACTGTTCAGAACTTCATTAAGGCATGTCTGCAATTTGATCCTCAGCAACGACTAACGGTTGTCGATCTCTTGCAAAGAGTAGGAAGTGGAGTGTTTGAAGAAATTGGTGCGGATGCCGAGTACTTGACACATCGTAGCGGCGAGCCCCTTCGTGATGATATTGTGGAGTACTGGAAAAATGTTTCTTAATGTTATGGCAGCTGGTTCGCTCGTTAGTCGTTATCGCATGTCGTAGTTTGCGTTAGTAACGGCACACCGACAACTCGCTGTCCACTATCCTGCTGACCGACAACTTGCTGGCGACTTTCTGCTGACCGACGAAATGTTGACCCGCCAGTTTGTTGAAACGACAAATCGCTGAACGACATTTCGCTGAACGACATTTTGTGAACACCGGCAACTTGCTGCCGACAATTTTCGGACTTGAGAAACCCAAGAAACCTAAGAAACCTAAGAAAACTAAGAAACCTAAGGAACCTAAGAACCCTAAGAAATCTGAGAATAAACAACAAAAAGTTAAGAAAACTCAAAAACTAACGTCCCAAACTTGACAGCAAGTTGTCGGTCAGCGAAAATGTTTCAACAAAACGTCGGTCAACAACTTAGCCGAAAAGCAAATTGTCGGTCAACAAGTTGTCGGTCAGCGAGTTGTGTAAGTCAGCAACATGTCGGTCAGCAAATGGTCGGCCAGCAATTTGTAGGTCGACGAATTGACGGTTAGGGGCACGGTAGTAACGACTTGTCTCCTTCTTCTTAAGTGTTGGTCCAACTTCCGTAGACAAATTAATTACGCTTCTGTTAATTGCAATTCCTAAAACATATCACTGTCTCCAGCTATCTACCGTTATCTTGCTAGACAAGGCGACCAGGCACAGTACTACCTCACCAGAATTTTCGGTCTGGTTACTTTCGTTTTCCTAGCTGCGCGTTAGATTTTAGAACTGCAGCAACATTCGGCTGCACAGTACATGAGGCGTTCTTTTAGGCGCTGTGGCTTAGTGAAAAAGATTTTGGGATACGCTGTGATTTTCTGTTACAGCGACTTACCTCAAATCATTTGTACGAGTACATACATGTACATGCAGTTAGCCTATCGGTACAATCTGTATACGATGGCTAGCAATATGTGTTTGGATTGTGGATGCAGACGTTATGTAGGAAGCAGCGATCGTCTCGACACAGGTGACACCGCATTCTAGGCACAATTCCCTTTGTCTCGAAACGTTGTGCATCGTGCGCTCGTGTGCGAGGTGCCATGCAGTTCCGGTTTTGCTGGAATGTCGGTTGAAACAAAAGCACGGCACACGATGTTGTGAAGATCGCCAAGCCGTGGATGGTTGTCGACGGAAAAAGAGCAAGATAACCGTGACGTTCACATCGGCCTACAGGCCCGTGGCACTTCATCCAACTCCATTTAACCGTTAATCACCCGTAATTTACAGTTGTTAGTTTACTGATTCTGCACAAGTCCTCAAGAAAAACGATTTTAATTGGGCCGCATATATATATTTGTTGTTCAGGAAGCGATTGGATTTTTATGTTTATTTTAATATTAAGTTAAGATGTCAATTATTGTTAATTAATTATAGCAAGTCAATCGTCAACGACTTTGTTAGCCTCTAGCTGGTACGTAAGTCACCCATAACCAGCCCAGTAAGAAAGTGCGATTTCAAAAAACTGTATAAAAACAAACTTAAAATTTGTGAGTACGGCTGAGTAACCAAAAGTGACAACAGTATTATCCGGAGCTCAGATAATCCCATTTCTGACAGTGCTGGTCAAATACGCATGCTTCAATAGCTGGGCCGCTTCTTCACGATTCTTTCGGTCGAAGATTAAGCAGGACTGCATGAACTGTAATAAAAGTGCGTCCAGTCCATAATTTGTAAGTTGGGATGGCAGTTTTGGTTTGGCCAAGCGTTTTGCCACGTGGAACATAACGGAAGTTCCGGACAACAGTTCGTTTCCGTAGGAATAGTGACACGGGTCCCACTCCCAGCTGCTAGTACCGTTTGCGCTGCTGGTCTTGAAATATTTACAAATTGTCGGTATCTCCCCGGTGCTTAATTGTATAGCAACACAGTCAACGCTCCAGATATCTGTCTTACCACATACCGGTCCACCATCGTGACACAGCCACGGCAAAAGCTCGGGTGCCGAATAAACGGCAGTATAGCACTGCAGGTCGCGTGTACCTTCCATTTCACCCGCACTGTGCAGCTATCAGTAATAGCAGCGCCGTCGAAATCAACGATTACCACTTTTTCACCTGAGCAGGTTGAGGTGAGCATTAGATTCCCTGGCTTGATGTCATAATGAACAATTCTGTGGTTTTGGCAAAACTGGTGGTGTAGATAGGCAAAACTGGTTTTGGCAAAACTGGTGGTGGTCCCTTCAGCAAATCTCGAAAAAAGTTTCGAATTTGTTCGTGCGGAAGCCCGCTGCTTGGCCTGTTATGGATGTTCTTCTTCGCCCAATCGCTTAAATTAATACCTGCGAAATCATTCTTTACAAATTAATAATATTTTGATTTTTTGAAGTGGGTGACACGTGCAAACAGTTTCTGATTATGGTGCGCTCAATACCTCTGCACAATGTTCGATAGAGTGCCGGCGCCGACATCTATTATTATCATTTATATTGACCGCTACATTTACTGCTTAGTTTACAGTGCGTTTACAATTTCCTCTTTCGTTTTAGCACTTACAGATACAGCTCAAACAAGCGCGTCTCTGTTCGAGCCCAGTACTGGCGATATCTGCGCACTGTTTGCACCCGGGTTGTTAACTTATTCGAAAAACTTTTGAGCCGTGAACTGTTCGTTGTTTTTGGTAAGCTTTCAGTCTTTGATAAACTTTAAAATTGTACAAAACAATTATAGGAGTACGACTTTAAAATATATAATGCAAAACAAATATGACAAAAAAAGCAAATAAGACAAAAAGCAAATATCACAAGTCATTGCAAAAGGACTTCTGTTATGTTTTCCATGTCTGGCAAACAGTCTATAAAGCATTGCGCGTTCCCTCATTGAATGTGGGCGGTTGATGGACAAGCGCTGCCGGAAAGCTTTAAACGAATACAATTTATTCCAAGAATTTAATCGTTGATTTGCTAAGGCGTTTATTATCTTTGGCCGATTACTTTCATTTAAATTTTTATACTTCGCTTGTTTTCATATTCCTGTCACTTTAACTATACAGTTTCATTTTCCGGTCACCAGGTAGCAAAATGTCCTAATAAAACAAAATTCACAGAAATGGTTAGTTTTCATAAAAACGACCTCTCTCATTAAATTTGGAGGCCGGTAAACATGGCAAAATAAAAAGCAAGTTGTGCGATCAGCAGCTATTCAAGTAGTGCGAAAAATGTGCGGTCATACCAGTGAACGGTGACCGGAATATGAAACCATTCACTTAAAGTGACCGCAATGTGAGAAATAGCGAAGTAGCTAAGTTGCTGCCCTGCAAACCATACAAATTTAAAAGTTTTCTAGTAGAATTAAATAGAATCTCTGGCAATGCTGGTGACAGATGACACTCTGAAAATCAATGTACTGACGTATGGGAGTAGGATCATACGCCGGATGTACGTACGGATGCTGACTGTCCGCCTTTCACCTGCAACACAACGGATAATCTAGTCAATCAATGCTGTGATTTGCTGTTCTCTTTTACTAGCGATGTACATGATGTCATAACGCAAAGTCTATATAAGTTCTTGTTACTTCTAATATCGGAATCGGTAGTCTGAGATTTACTTCTGAGACTGCTTTCTAATTACGATTTCCTAGCGTTGTGAACTGTGATGTGAATTGGATAAAGAGACAGCAATACTTGTTCCTACTGAAGTGCATAGTTGTTCCCGGATTATCGCTTAGTATACAGGTTTGCTCGTGACACAATCGTCCTAGCTCTTGCCGATCCTCACAGGACTTACGACCGGAAGTTGTGGTTAGCGTGTTCCTGAGGGATTCCTGAGTTCCTGATTCGTTCGTCCTATTTCCACCATAGTTCTTCTGTTACAGTTTGAGAGTACGAGTGCCTACCGATTGAGCATTACAGGCGTGGAAGAGTAAAGATTGTTCATGGAGCCTTAATCGGCGTGAACGCTTATACACGACATGGCGCCCACCGGTGTCTTTTAATTTTCCCGATGTAACTGAAAATTATTGGTGGAACGTTTGATGGTAATTTATTGGTAAAAAGTGGTCCGTTTTTGAAAGGCGTCGAACCGCAAAGGTACGCCGAAGGAGGTCAGCGTTCCCGATCTGGCCTAGTTTAATTTATTTTCAGCGAGCTTCCTCGCAATTGTGAGCTTCCTCACTGGTGAGCTTCCTCGCCAATTAAATTAATCACTTAATTTAAATTGGACCGTAGGAATTAAGCAGTCGAAACCTTAAAGGTCGGCTGTGCTAAATAAACCAGTACTGTGTGGGTAATTTCCGGGTTGTCTGCGCAAAGCAGTAACCGCGGTGAATAAAGCGTAATCTGCAGTGTCAGTGTACCTGGCCTGCAGATAGAGCAGATAGTAGGCACCGAGCCATTGTCAGTGGCCAGGTGAGATAACGATCTCCAGCAGACTGATATAGGCAAGCCGCAAGCGGTAGCCAAAATCAGCAGCTAGAGAGAGTTCACTGTGAAAAAAGGTAAACACCGGTAGACGGTGATTGACCTGTGAATTTTAAATTACTGTAGCACGCAAAGTGCAGCAGTGTAATTTTAGGAATTTGTTACAGTCGAAACCGCAAAGGTCGACTGTCAGTAAACTATCACTGAACAATTCAAACCTAAAAGGAGGATTGGGAAGTGACGTAGTAGTAATTGCACAATTGCAATTTCGGAAGCAGTAGCACAATCGCTGCTGTACGTAATATTGTAAATAGCCGCAAAGGTTATTTAAAATAAAAAGCAGAAATGTCGGGCGGTTCGATTCCTAGAAATCGCCCACCACCGCGTAAAGTCCCAGACAACAAAGTGATTATTGGGGCGTACGATGGATCGAGAGCTCAGACAAGGTTCAAATTCAATGCAAAAGAAATCCCGCTGAATTTAATGTACATCGCTCTTAATGTCGAACCACCAGAAGCACAAGATGCATTCTGTGGAAAGTCATGGATTGACTACCAGGAAATCAGGCGGTACTTAAATTCCAAAACGAGATTACCAGCACATTTTAAACCTTGGATTGAGTACGAGGGATGTATCCCTGAAGCTTACCTGGACATCACTGATGAGCAGTTTAAAGTGGCTGTGCAGGATGCAAACAGGTGGCTGCCAGAATACACGGAAGATTTGAATAGACGAAGAGAGGCGGCCCAGGCTGCACTCACAGCGTCAAAAGCAACCGGAAAAACTCCCAAAAAACAGGCAGCAAATGAGCGCGTCACGCGCGGTGCCAAGGAGAGAATTCCAGCCCAGGTATCTGGTGCGATATTGGACGAACCCATATCGGAAACTCCAAGCGTGGCCGAGAGCCAGACAGAACCCCAGTCGTCCCAGTCGGACAATAACTTGATAGCGTTGTCGGCTGCGGATAAAGCGGACATATCCGAGGGATCTGAAACAAGAGCAAGTAAAAGCATTCGCGGTGGAACGATGACATTCCACCCGGCACAGCTAAAACTTCATAGCTTCGTGTCCGAAAAGGATTTCGAACAACCTGATGAAGACTTCCTTACTCAAGCTAGGGAAGTCGATGAGCAGTTGGCTGCGGCAGAAACTGACCAGGACGTGGGCTTGATAGTCCGGCAAACTATGCCCGTGTTGATCCAAAGTCTCCGCACGCTCATCGCATCTACAAAAACAAAAGTAGATGAAATGGGCAATTCAACGTCTTTAGACGCTCGTGTCGATGCGGAACGAAA